TCTCGTATATATTTTAATCACGGCTTTGTCGGTGGGTTGGTGTTCTATATCCTCTTTGAAAACAAACAAACACTCAAAACAGAAAAGCTGTGGCCCCGCTTGATAGCGTTTTCATGGTTTTATTTTTCAATGCTGAGAAATAATCTATCGGAATTATTTCTAAAATTGTGTTTAATTGTTTTCCTTTTAAAAGAAATTATTTTTTTTACGTAGAAAAAAATGAAATCGTGTTTCATTATGTTTTTAAACTGAAAGAAAATGTATTATCGGGTATATGTATAAAAGCGTCTATGGTGATTTCGGGTTGAATTTTCAATTCAATTCTGAAACAAGAATTGTCACAGAATAGCCTCATGATACTCCAGTCATGATTTTCATACTTCAAGTTACGATATTCTAAGATTACGATCATTACCACATCCTTGATTGTTTACAGTGTGTGGTTATTACACAATTATACTTAAACAACCACGATAATCCACAAGTCAAGAACATATGGAAGACTATGAGAGAGAGAAAACTAATAGAAATTCAACATAATTTTGTCATGCTCGTTCAGTTTGTACCTTGTTATCTAGCTATTTATAACCACACTTATCATAAAGAAAGTAAGCACAAAATATGTAAAGTATCGCTCTTATTATTTATCAGAGAGTAAGTTACTCGATTACTTAATCCGACAAGATATAAGAAATATTTCATAATATTTCTAATAGAACACTTTCCCTTTTCATGCCTCGTGAATTTTATTCTAAATAAAATTAAGATGTTGACTTTTTGGCTATTCACCATTATAGGTGCCTCAAAGTCCAATATGATATATGAGCATATATTTTGAGTGTATAAATCTTAGAAAATGACTAGAAACCAAAAATAAATTTAGTTCATTTTTCCCAAAATATGAATACAGTTTTTACTTTCATTTTTATACCCCCACTAATTACGAAACAAACGCTATTTCAAAATCATTTTTAAAAACATATTTATTAGAAATAGGACGTGGAATCATTTTGAAAAAGGGTACCATAACACCTAAGTTTATGATATAATGAAAAAACATACCCTTTTTAAACTTTAACCTCAACGGCCTCACCCCATCCCCTATTCTAATACACGTTGTTTAACTTAATAATCATTTACAATTTCGTTCATTATTAGGAGGAAAAAGAAAATCGTGATTATTTTTCAACTTACTCAAACAATGACGACTTGATCAGGCCTCTAACAGTTTTTTTTTTTTTTTTAAAGGAATATATAACAAATTTTTAACTACCAATTACTAGTGGAAAATTAAACGTGTAAGACTAATGTGTCTTTTATCATATCACATGCTAATCACACACACGCACAGTTTTTTTGAAACTAATACCATTTGCTGAATATATATTGTTGAAACAAATAACTAGTACTGCGTATAATGTGCAAGTGAATCTTCCCCACTAGTGCCCATCAAAAGAGGAAAAAAAATCAATATTCACATCAGCAATAAGCGCTAATAGCAAATTTCTTAACTTGATTTAAATTCTTTCCTATATAATTAAGAAGTGAAATATAATAAAGCATATGAAATGATAATACGTTTCTAATGCATATTGTTTTTCATGTGTTGATTATTTTTCAGCCGTAACTGAATACTACTTAAAATATATAGAGGATATGTTTATATTTTTTAACGTTTATTTATTGTCGTATAATTAGATACTGATCAAATTGTACATATTCTTCTCTTTTTTTTTTTTCCTTTTTTTTTGGGACTGGATCACATAATATATTCAAGATGTTCTTACAAAAGCTTGATCTTAGCGATCATAACATTTTTTTTTTTAAAAAAAGAAGAAGAAAAAATATAGTGATAAGAACAAATTTGTAGGCCTAATTTGCACGCTATATTTAGCAATACGCATACCCCACGTTCCCCAGCATCCATTATTTATTATAGTTAGCCAGGGAAACATGTTTAATATTTTACATTTTGTAGTGAGATCTGAGATGAAACGTCTCTTTTTCTAAATTCCTCTACCCCACTTTCCCCATCATCGACCATAAAATACAGCAAAAGAACAAAAAAAGTGACTGATAATACATAAAATTAAGGTGGTGATTATTTCCTTTGTCATGATCAAAAGTTGAAAAGCGACGGTTCCAACAACAACAATACAAATAGCTTTTTATTACAAAAAGAGTCAACTATAGTGACAAATAAATAAATAAATGAAACGAGATTCATGCACATAATGTGCTCCATCAATGTCGCTGAAAACCCTATAAGAGAGCTGCAAACGAAATATCCTAGTGAGAACGCCGTGAATACTTGTGCCTAATCTTCGATTAATTAAGCTTTTTAAGCTATATTAGTGTCGCCCCAGATTAATTAGTTTATCCTATAATTTTATCCATACAAGAATTGAGAGTTGAGACTAGCCAGCTAGATAATTGTTTTATACTTTGGAGGTATTCAAAAATAGGGAAGAGAAGAAAGTGATCATCATGGTATATATACTTGATAATCATCAGCTTGTTGCTTAATTAGATAATTGAGAGGCTAGCTAATTAATTTTAATTTTTTTGTGTAGCAATGTAATAAGATAATAAGAGAATTTGCAACTAATTATATTGTCATTAGTGCCATATCTTCTCAATCTTACTCCCACTTCATAAAAGTGAATTATGCTGATTAATTAGTTTGGCATTAATATAGACAAGTGGTATAGTGGGGAAGAGAGAGTGGATAAATAACAAACCCCATATTAGAGGAACAGATCATGATCATAAATCATAATTGATTTACTATACATATACATATATGTGTGTGTATAATTAAAAGCACATTTCTATCTTACTGCTAATTAAACACGATCTTTCATTATGAGGTTATTAATGTTAATTTAGGCTGTCGGGAGTAATATAACCAAAAGTTTAAAAAATACACAGAAATTAGCTAACACCATTTAGTGTGGACCAGAAATTAGCTAATTCCCAGAAATTAGATTTACTTCTAAACTATGTTCGCACACAAATGTGTTTAATGTAGTCCCTGGTCTTTATGTATGGCTCTATTAGCTAGTGCCTTCAGTATTAATATTTAAATTATAACGTAACTCCGAAGGAAAAATGCTATAATATGAACATTACATGTTCGATTTCAAGAAGATGAGGTAAATAAGCTATCCAAATGTCCTATAGTTGGAACAAAAAGACATCCCGCCAAACAGAAATTGACCGAAGAATATCTTGAAATAATATATAACTGTTTGATTTGAATATCAAAGGCCTAAAAACTGCTAGCTTTTGAACTATGATCAATTCAAATATTCAATCTTTAATGTAACTTCGTTATTTCACATAAATACATGTAGCAATCATATAGCTTATACACACCCTGCCCCCAACAAATTTTGTATTTAGTGTCAAATAATATTACTTGTACTCCACAAAATGACGCTTTCATTATCACGTCATGTATGATCCAGCATTGACCAAGTGAGAAAATTAAGGAATTTAAGGCACGTATAAGCCTTTTATGATACGTATAAATGGCTGAATTTTCTACATAAATTGGCCGTCACTGCACAAATTTGCCAATATTAGGACCGTGACCAAGAAGATGTCAAAACAAGAATGGAATGTAATCTAATTTTCAAAGACAAAAACGATCGGAGATAATTAATTAAACTTAAAAATAAATAGTTTTCATAAACCAAGAAAACTAAAAATGATTTTTCAATTGCTTCTCAATTAACTTGATGCGTTTCTCACGAGTCAATGACCTTTTTTTCCCCCTTCTAAAGCTATTTTCAATTTTTCCTTCATTTAATAATCACGTCAATATATACTCTCAAAAAGTCACAAATAACCATTAGATTCAAGGGGATTTAACCACGAACAAAAACTGAATTCACTGATAAAGACGAATGAGGCACAAAAATAAATATAAGTGTCAAGTCTCAACAGGAAAAGACACCCTCAACACATTAATAATTGAGCGCGCGCGAAAAAAACTTGTTTAACAAAATTAATACAGTTGATGGATAATACTAATAAACCAAGACCAAAAGATCCAGAGTGCTAGAAGCACTACAACTGTATAAGATCAAATCTAGTGGGATAGACATACTACCACCATAGAATGGTGGGATGACAACTTTAGTAATTACATGACGAAAACATAAAAACTGAAATGGCGGAATCAACTCCATCTTTATTACATCAAAACTAAGAAGAAAATTTTAGAGAGAGAGAGAGAATTTCAATAATATTGTGAATGTGTACAAAATAAAGAGCTGTAGAGCACTACTCATAGAAAATTTTTTGACATTATTCACGGTTATTATTTACACAATAGTAATTATTTATAATTACTATTTATAAAGTAAGGTTATTATAAAATAATAATTTTGATTGACTTATATAATAACTTTAATTAAGGTCGACAGTTAGTATTCATAACAATATTTACTATAGATTTGGAGGCTTAATTGGCTAGCTGATCCGTACAAAGCAATACCAAAGATCTGCAGTGCATTTGATTGAAGAAAAAAAAAAGAAAAAAGAAGAGAACAAAACAAAACAAACATAAGATAATAGACACTCGACTTTAAGCTTAATTAGCATATATACATCCTTTCCTATCAACCAAGCCGTGAAGGGATGAGAAGGGCATAAGAGTCAATGCGGTCAGACAGTTTAAAGTGTCAAAAGGATATTTCGGTCAATTTAATACATTGAGAAATATCTGAACAGGAGCGAGATTCGTCGCAGACATGTGAGACAAGACGGTCGTTGTCTTTTATTTATGAAAACGCGAATACACGTCCCACGTCACACACTGTAATAAGGGAAAAGGTCAATAATAATTAAATTACTCAAACGCCCCTTTTCTGAACTGCATTAAAGCTCTAATTTCTCTATGTAAATTATGAACTTATATAGGGGCATTTTATGAAAGACTTGCTCTATATATTTGCGGGTTAATCCGTTTAATCTAATTTGGTCTTCAACTAACAAAAATAAATCCCATTGACCCCCTCTCTCTCTCTCTCTAACACGCACAACAAAAGCAGTTTTTTCTCTCGTCTTTCTTCTTCTTCTTCTTCTCCATCATGATGCAGATCGGTTCTACTCTTCCTGCGCTAAACCTAAATCAGTTTAACACAAGACGTGCGAGCTTCAAGTCCCAAATGTCTCCTCTGAACCCTCTAAAAAGATCATCATCTTCTTCATCTCAGTCTACTCGGGTACATCTCGCGAACCTCGAGAAGCTTCTGCAGAAACCGCCGTTACCGGACAAAGCAATAGACCCGCTAACTGTTCGACAAAATGCCTATGAGAACGGACCCGTCGAGAAGAAGGGAAAAGGCCTGCTCGAAGGGCTTAACCTGGCCCGAATGTGGTCGGAGATGAAAGCCAACGACGAAATGTCGCCGCGTAACATGAACCGCCTCCAACAGCTTCTCAGCAAAACAGACGAGTACTCGCCGAGAAACAATCTGGGCCGTCGATGGAGAGATTATCATGGTTGCAGTGATTGGATCGGACTGCTTGACCCGCTCGACGAGAATCTCCGCCGCGAGGTCGTCCGATACGGCGAGTTCGTCCAGGCGGCCTATCGGTGTTTCCACTCCAACCCCGCCACACCGGCCGACGAGCCGCCGTTTCCCCGCCACGTGGCGCTGCCGGAGAGGTCGTATAAGGTGACTAAGAGTCTTTACGTGACTTCGTCCGTGGGTTTGCCCAAGTGGGTCGATGACGTGGCTCCGGATCTCGGGTGGATGACCCAGCGATCCAGTTGGATCGGGTACGTCGCGGTCTGTGACGACAAGAGGGAGATCCAACGGATGGGGAGGAGGGACATCGTCATCGCACTACGAGGTACTGCCACGTGTCTAGAGTGGGCTGAGAATATGCGGGCCCAGCTTATAGAAATGCCCGGGCAAGATCAGGACCCGGCGGATAACCTGGCCCACGGACAGCCCAAGGTGGAGTGCGGGTTCTTGAGCCTCTATAAAACACGCGGGGCTCACGTGCCGAGCCTTGCCGAGTCAGTGGTTGAAGAGGTCAAGCGGCTCATGGAATTATATAAAGATGAGACGCTGAGTATTACCGTGACTGGCCACAGTCTAGGAGCGGCCTTGGCATTACTAGTAGGCGACGAGCTAAGCACGTGCGCCGAAGATGTCCCACCGGTGGCGGTCTTCTCCTTCGGAGGGCCTCGGGTCGGAAACCGAGGCTTTGCGGATAGGATCAATGCAAAAAATGTTAAGGTCTTAAGGATTGTGAACTCACAAGATGTAATCACTAGAGTTCCCGGTACATTTTTGAGTGAAGGATTAGAAGAGAAGTTAAGGAACACGAAAGTCGGTGGAATGCTCGAAATGCTAGAGGAAAACATGCCCTTAGCGTACTCACACGTCGGGGCGGAACTTAGGGTCGACACGAAAATGTCGCCCTATCTTAAGCCTAACGCGGACATGGCTTGTTGCCATGATTTGGAGGCTTACTTGCACTTAGTGGACGGGTTTTTGTCTTCTAATTGTCCGTTTAGAGCAAACGCCAAGCGAAGCTTGGTGAGGTTGCTACAAGATCAGGGGTCGAACGTCAAAAGATTGTATATAAGCAAGGCAAAGTCCTTGAGTTTGAATCTCGAACGGGAAGGCATGCCCTTTCATAGTTGCTTGTCAAGTCCATCTTAACATAATAATAGAATTGGTTGAAAGTACGGAAAATGCATAGCAAAATTTTATACAGAAGATGAAATATGATTCGCCCAATAGGTGTTTAATTTTCACTTTTTGTGGTGTATCTGGATTTCATTTGAAAATATTAATTATGGACAATATTATAAAAAAAATAAAATAAAATTTGAAGTATGTATCTTAACATTGGAAGTGTGCTTACATTTATCGTACTTCATTGGTCTTAAACATTTCCGAAGTACATTTCTTCTATTTGTACCATGTTAGACATACCAAAAAACAAGAGTTCTTCTTTGTGGCAACATTTTTAGCGATTGGCTATAGTTATGCACTTTAAAATTATCTGAATTTTTCCATAGTTAAGCTGGAAAATGTTGTCAAAAACTTGAAGAAAACTAGTTTATCTATATTAATCAACCGGCCAATCCGGTGGCTGCCGAGCAGTTTGAACATGAAGCGTGAAAATTTTATGCGTACACACTTGCCTCCTGATCACATGATAAATGGACGAAGTCCATAAATTGAAATTAAAAATTATCTAACGTTATGCCTCTATTTGAATTGACCCAAACATAGTTTCTCTCGTGTAACCAATATTTGACATTCCATACTAGCTAGCTGGCATTCCTTGATTTTATTATTGGTGATCTAGGAATTCGACAACTCTTT